GTGATGATTTACAAGTATCTGTTTAATAGCCATCTTCTGTACTTAGAGATTTTACGAATGATTTCAGTGGAACATTCATGAATGAAGCTATGATGGAAATCTGTCTCCTTCCATTATTGTGAATTTATTTATAAATGCCTGCAGTATGACTCATTAAAGGTACCTCGTTCAGATCTTTCTTAGCACTTGGGCAGCAGAAATGCGCCTTTTCAAACGTTGACTCTCTCCTCCTCCTCCTCTTCCTCTTTTCGATGTCTTTTCTGTTGCGAAGTATCAGGATATCATTTTATATGTCTCAAAAGTATGACTATTTTGGGACATCCATCCAAACAAGGCTCCTCTTTCCTTTGAGTGGAAGCCAATGTTTCTTTTTTTTCATCTCTTTCTCCATCACATTTCCCCCTTTTCTAAGTTAATTCTTGGACATCCTATTACTTCTTTTGATTTTCTCTGTATCTGGCTATCTGCTTCCATTTATTTATTTTCTAACATTCCACTACTTTTGCAGCTCGTTTGGTTGTTGGTAATAAACAAACGAGGCTCCTCTTTTCTTTGAGTAAAAGCCAATGGTTCATTTTTTTTCCATCTCTCTCTCTCACTCTCTCTCTCTCTCTCACACACACACACACTATTTAACATTCTAATACTCCTACGGGCCATCTGGTTGTTTATAATAAACAGTGGTAATGGTAATGATTATATAAATAATTTTGTGAAGAAGATTGTATGCCAATGCATGATAATGCTATTCTCTCTACAAATACCCTTTTTTTTTTTTTTCCTTACTAATTTCTATTACCATCCTTTACCATTTTAGTTATGGTATTGTGTGTTAATGAAAATTTGTGAACAAAAACACCTGTTGTAGGTGGAGCTCCATTGACGTGGTAATGACCATTAAATTTCCTTGCAAAATTGCATACAAATCAATTACCGTTGCCGCACTTTATGACTGCTTACCATATGTACCGTCAATAAAGTGTTAAATTTATTTAGGAACTTTGTTTTTGATGGAGACAGTTATTAAATCTGGCAGTTTGTTCTCTCTACAATGAGTATTTGGGTTATATAGCCTTGTACATTCCTTAGAACCTACCATATAAATTGGTATTATTCAGTGTGGTTGAGTTTGATGTGCGATGCAGATTTGAAAATTAGGGCAACAGGATTTAGGGAAGATGAGAATAAAAATAAATGGCTGTGTTGCCACTCACGAGGAAAGGTAGAAAGGAATGTGTATAGTGAGAGTGGCGCTATACCAGAGAAAGAAAATATCTATCATGCTTTGTTCCTATTGTTCCATTTCTGTCTATAACACAATTAGGAGTCGCACATCTCATAGATTCCGTATTAGATTTCTCAATTATCTTATGGCTGCAAGTGAGATGGATATATGGTAAGAAGACATGCTAAGAAGTGCTTACATAAGCTATTAATCTTATTATAGTATAGACCTAGAAGCCAGTTTCACCAAAATTTACACTTCATAAGTGCAATGCATCATTATCTCTCTGGTCCTGTATATATCTGAATCGTCTAATTACTTGAATACTCTCTCCCTTTTAATGCATCTTTTAGCTTATAAAATGACCCCTTGTATGTAATTTCTTTGAATTTTCTTTTTGCAATTTTATTGGAAACATATGTGCCTCTATGTAGTCCATTGGATTTTTCACTAATATATGGTTTTGGAAATTTGAAGGTTTCTAATGGTGAAGCAGTTGAAATGGCAAGGAGGTTGGCGTTGGAAGAAGGTTTACTGGTATAACTAAGAAACTGCTTAGCATAGTAGGAGTAAATCACACTTCCACCATTCTTTTTTAATTGCAATGTTTGATAAATTTACATTATTTACACACGAGCCTTTAGTCATCTTTTGTGATTTATACACTTGGAAAAAGTCATGTGGGGTGTTGTTAAAGTTGTCTCGATTTATACTTTCTATATATTAACTTTTTATAATTTTTACTAAAGTATAATTAAAGATATCTATGATACGAAATTTGCATTGGCGAGCGTGAAAAGTAAAACATTGCAATTATAAATGGAGGAGGTACTGTTGTGTTATCGATTTTTAAATTTGTTTTATAAAAAATCTTTCTTGATACATGTGTTGGGGTGTTTCTAAAATATCAATGTTACTAGTTCTTCATCTGGACACCTAAATCTCTTAATATAATGTTTTGGACTTCTCCAATGTTTTTTTATAATTAAATTCATTCCAACAATTCAAAGCTACATTGTTTAGGGAATCAATCTTACTTGCAGGTTGGAATATCTTCAGGAGCAGCAGCAGCTGCTGCAATAAAAGTAGCGAAAAGGCCTGAGAATGCTGGAAAACTTATTGTTGTAAGTGCTCTTTTCTGACCACTCTCTTCTTTATTAATTTGCTATAAAAAATACATTATGAGTAAGCAAAATTTCTAATTTTGTTTCGGAAGTGCTAACACATGTCAATTACTTGTATACTCCCTCTGTTCCCATTTAATTGACACATTGATTAGGCACGGAGTTTAAGAAATGTTTGAGTGGGGTAGTTTTATTGAATTGTTTATTGTAAAGTGAAGTTAGTGGAATGTTATTTTATTCATAGAAATAGTGCATGGGCTTGTAAAGTGAAGTTAGTGGAATGTTTGAGTGGGGGTGGGGATTATTTTAATACAAACCTTAAAACTGGTAGGCCATTGTGTAAGATAGAAAAACAATTAAATATTAGTGGGTCCTTGCCATTTTTAGCAATGTGTCAATTATTCAAGAACGGACGAAAAAGGGAAGTGTGTCAATTATTTAGGAACGGATGGAGTATTTTATAAGAGCAAAGGAGTTTTGCTAAATAACGTCCTGGTTGTTATGGCAGCCAGCTAGATGTTGGTTTGAAAGGCACATATATGTTTTATTTATTTATTTATTAGGGACTTGTGGTACTTGAATGATCTGATATGCTACTAGAAATTCCCTATCCATGCTTGGTTTTATAATTTATATATCTATATAAAAAGAATTGGCATTATATCACTTTAATGTCTACTATAATCGTTTAAAACTTGGGCGTTGATTGACCAATAGTCTCCAAGGCAGTCATATTAATTAAGATCTACTCAAAAAGACCCATGCTTACATCTTCAATGTGAAATTATTATTCCTTCATTAGTTTAGGAGGGAAAACCTGCTTTAGTGTGTTTTTATTACCACAAAAAAATAAATTAGTGTCTTCTGCTTTTTGTAAAATATACAAAGCAGATTGTTAGTGGCTGAACCATAACACTCATAGTCATAGTGGATTATAGATTCACTTTGTGGGACCACCAGATCTCCTTCCTGAATGTAATTAATTTCTGGGTTAAGAGTCCTTTCTCCTGTTGAATAGAAATCTTTTATGCATTGACCGCCGATCGTAATATGAATCTTCATGAATATTGAAATAAATATTATTGGCTGAAGCCTGAACATGTAAATGGCATTTACACGGTTACACCGAGTATAATTTGATTGAGTTGGGAAGGCAGACTTTATGTCCATGAGATTAGAGGATATTCTGCACTATGTTGAAATTTTGATTGTTATACCAGGAATAATTGTCGAGCTCTAGCAGGCAATGGAAACTACCATTCCCCTAGACTATTTTATCATCCGATTTGTTCCTAATTGGTATCAACACCTGAATATATCTTCAATCTCTTTATTTTGTCTCTATTACCTCAATAATGGATTATTGCCAATCCAAGCATGCCCTGAGATAAGGAACTCCTTGTGTTCAAAAGTAACCGTCTTCTTTCATTTTTGTCATTTTTAAAACCGTCTAGATTGCCCATTGCCTCTCTAAGCATTCAATGTGTATCAAGTTATTCCCGATTTCCAGTTGGATCTTCCCCTATGTTCTTTATCTTTATGAAAATTTAACTAGGACAAACACTACCAAGTGGAGGTTTATTGTTCCTCAACTTAAGTAACTCTATCTCCTCAAGGGCACCCATCAACATATTTGATAGAATATAGCATGAATGCATGTAGATTAAAATAGTTCTACACCTGAATACTGGACCTTAAAGTGTGACAGATGGAAAATAGAAAATAAATAAAATAATTTTAGACGAGAATGCAGTGGACAGGATGTACACATAAGCATCTTTACCCCTTTGTCGTTGCAATGCGAATATTTGATACCCTGTGGCTTAAGTAACTCATTTTTTGCAATACGAGGCTTTGATACCATGTTATTGTTTCTGAGAATCAAGTTTCATGCATTTAGGTTTTTGACTACTTGCTTCCTGGGATAAGTTTAACAATTTTGGGATGTTGCAGGTCATATTCCCAAGTTTCGGTGAGAGGTATATTTCCACAGTTCTCTTCCAATCCTTATACAAAGATGCACAAAATATGACGGAAGAATAGTTTCCTGGCAATAATATGCTTGTGAAACACATGCAAAAATGAGCAGAAGATTGTGTAGTCTCCATCACCATTGAGAATAAGACGGGCTGAAATTCTCTAGCGAGTATGCAACAATCACAACTAAAGTCAAGTTTTCAGAGTTTGTACTTTGTTGTGAAAACTTATCAACGGTTTTAACATTTTCAGGTTTTTGAGGCTTGACACCCTAGTGTTCAACAGTTCGAACAATCGTGGGTATCATACTCCCAAGTTCTTTAATATTATGGATATCAGAGATGGCAGTCAGATGCATTCTTTCCGGCAGTAGTTAGCAACTGATCCATTGAGTGTAGATATTGGAAGTTGTGTGGGTGGCAAAGCCAATTTTACTTGGGAGCAAGAACCTGACTTCTGTTGGTGATGGAGCAGATGAAAGTTTAGTTTTGATCAGATTATGATGTATAAATTGCTTCAGTGCTAAGACCTTAAAATATAATTTGACAAATGAATTGTAATTGACAGCTAACTTCCTAACTTACATCCCAGAATTCTAGGAATTTTAGTAACAGGGTTTATGTACTTTTATCTATGTTGAATATCAAATGTGTTTGAAAAAAGATGAAAATTCTGACAAAAATCAAGAGTCTTAAAAGGCCTGATATGAAACACTCCTACACATCTTCAGCTGCAGGTGAAAAACAATCTCTGGGCAAGAGATCGAGCACTTGGCTTTTGCCTTAGGGATCTTCTGCATCCTTAATGCTTCCAACCTAGCAAGGGAATTGAAAGAAAAATGAAAATAGGTTGAAAAACAGTTGTTTACAAGATTGGTTAATTTGGTACAAAAGTATGTTCTACTCATAGAGTCTTACTACTGTCGTTCTTCTTGTTTGGCACTAGTTTTCCATGATAGAATAATCTCAATTAAGCTGAGATCACATGATCTGCAAACCAGGGTAGCCCAGCTGCTCCACACATCTTTTCCTCTGGAAGTGGAACTATTGGTCCCAAGACAATGCGCCATAAATCCAGTATAATCGTGACAAGCATCGCAGCACCCAGAGCATCAACAGCAACCCTTGCTAAGTCCCACTTGTCGCTAGGTTTCTCATCAATTCTAAAGTAGTAAATTCACAATAGAAAATACATATATTTAGCATAGAGGTACAGGAGATGCAAATGAGATAATGAGATACTTTGCTTCTGAAGGCCAAATATCCAGAGTCTTGGATAACTAAATGCAATAAGTTTCAGTCCTCTGCATGCACTCACCTCAGAAACATGGGAAAGCTTACGATGAAGTAAATTGCATAAAACAAACATCCAACTTTGTACATTGCATCTCGGTCTACAAATTCATAATACGGAAACTGCAATTCAAAGATGTAGACATTAGTCAGTAACTCACACATTCAACACGTTAGGAGCATGTACTCATTTCAGAGAGCACAAAAGAGCCATAGCAGCCATAGGAGAAAATTAGATGATTAATAGTTATGATTGGGCAAAACATCATATACAATTAGAGCAAAAGGCAATCCTAAAGATCTAGATGATAGAAATCACATTAAGCAATCACTAAACCATCGAACAAAAACAATTCAAGAGAAAAAGGACGGTGCTCTAGCTACCACCCCCCCCCCCCCCACACACACACACAAAAAAAAAAAAATTAATAATAAAAAAATTTAGACATAGCTTAAGCATTACGCATACTGGACCTTACAGGTACAAAAATAGAATTCCAAGAAAATACTCTAGAAGCCTATGTATTGATATTGATGGAATGAGGAATTGTTAGTTTCAGAGAAGTTCACAACCACCAGCTCATTTTGCTGGACATGGTTTAGAGAGGTCCAATTGTCATAGTCTTAAGCCTAACTACATGTCTACATTTAAGGGATGGATTAGCAGCTTCAAGCTAGTCAAATTAAAAGACATTCAAGAATCATGCATGCTTATTTAGTAGATCAACCAAAACAATGTGAAGAAATTGTTACGATGGTATCACAAGAATAGAGGGTTCTGAAAGAGTCAACATACATTTGCAATTGCTATAGTCTCCAAGTATGCAATAAAATATGACAGTGCTAGTATCCATGCACCTTCCATTATCCACCGAATTTTCTCAGGAACATCAGCAAGAGCATACCGTAATCTTCGAAGTGACATATTTGAAGCAACGTGGTAGAATAGAAAACAAACATGAGTCAGCAGGAAAGTTGTGTGTGGTACCTACAACAGGCAAAAACATTAGCAACAAAGTATTGATGACAAACAATTTCAGCACTGAGAACAAAGTGACACTATGAGGACAGTGTGGCTCACATCATTCATCTTCCATGATGGGAAGGTATATGAAGCTCCCAACACTTTGAAGAAATAGTGGGTCCAAAAGTAATTACCGACATAACTGAAGCATATAATCCAGATACTTGCCTGCAAACAGGAGAAATTATAGCATCAAATATGTTACATTCAATCCATGGATGATTAGAAATAAGAACAATGATCGTAGCTTAGAAAAATAAGACTCTAAAGAGTACAGCATTTGCAGCCAACTAAGACATAAATAGTAGAATGCCAAAGTTGAAATGCATTATCCAAATGCTCCATAAACTTCTATATCATAAACTTCAACTCTTCATAAACATAAACAATCAAAATACGCGAAATTTTACTGTACTACTCCTAGTTTTGATGATAACTACCAAACCATTGATGCAGCTTATTATTAGTGTTTGATATTATTGAAGCTCATGTTTATTAGGTAAACAACATCCAATCAGATAAGGAACAAATCAAAAGCTTTCGATAAAGTAAAATTAAAAAACTAACCTTCACCCAATAACGATCCTTCAAGGGAGTACCTTCATCAGCCTAAAAACAGTATTTCAAATTTCAATCAACTTAAACCAAGGCATACATGATAAGAATCCGGTAATCTTTTATAAAAAGTGTGTAGTTGCAAAATATTACCTTTCCAGCAAAAAACATTGGTATGACAAATGATGGCACAGCTGAAATCATAGCCAAAAGCAAGTACTCCAGCTCTTTAAAATTCTGTCAATAATCACATTGTATTACATAATATTTAATCATTCAACTATCACTACTTATGTAGTACTCGGGAACATAATCACAGAATCTTGTAATCAACTTTGACTACCACTTAATTTACATTTTACAATATGTACCATAATTTATAAATAACTCACCATTATCACAAAATCACATTTCGAACAATCCTGTTTACATTACTGTCCTCTGCAATGCCTTATAATTAAAAAAAATAAAATAATCTCTAGAAAACTAAGGCATGTAAATGTGAAAAATTTGAAAAATTAAAGCTACCTCAACTCAAAGTCAACCAAAAATGCTCCTTGTATACACTACTAAAAATATAAGACAACGCATAAAATTTAAGGCCTAAATCATGAATTAAAGAAGAAATTAGAAGTAAACCTCGTATAATTTGAAGGGGACAACAATCCCAAGGCAAAGAGTAAGCCAAAAGGGAGTGTAGAGCAGGAAAAACAACTCCCCCCATCTTTTGCTTGGATTTTGGGCCAACCACATGCTCGGTTTAGACCGATTTGAATTTGAATTTTGTTTACCTGCGGACAGAATTTCGAAAATTATGATTATCACTTTTCAGCAAGATTTTCTCTTGAAATTTTTATAACAAGATTAAGGGGGAAAGCGAAATCTGGAAGATGAAATGCGCAAATGCAGTTAGATACCGGCCATGTTGTAGAAGTTAAGGTGGGGAAGACTAATTATGTTCTTGAATCTGGGTTCTTACTTTCGTGACTCAGTCCCTTTCGATAGTCCTGCTGTCAAATGAACATCTATATACCAATTAAAAAAACCCCATATTTCATTTTTTTCATTCTCATTTCCTCTCTCTAAACCTCCCTTCTCTCTAATTCATTCAAAACCTCCATTTTCAATGTTCAAAAGCTTCAAGATCTAAATAATTTGTTATCAAAACTCCATAAGTATGAACATTATATATGAAATTGAAGGTGCAAACAAAGAATTTGAAAAAAGACCCTGAAAAAAAGGTAATTTTAAAATTTCTTTTTATATTTTAGACTACTAGCGTAAATTTCATCAATTACATACTAGATTTATATAGAAATTTTAATTGATTATACATGTAGCAATTTCGTTAACTTTAATTGCAATTTTGGTTGATGTCAAGGCAAATTATACTAAATTATGTTCAAGGCTTCAAAGACAGGTGTCAATTTGCTAGGTGTTGGATAGTAATGATCCATATTCGCAGATCGTAATGATCCACATTCAGATTCGTCAGCTGCTTCACAGCATACATGCTTTGGTGCAGGTAGGCCCAAGTCATCAGCAGCTACAGCTAACTGTTTTCTTTTCTTCAAGTTGGAGCCAACAAGTTTCATTTTCTCAATTTAATGAAGCTCAAGATAAAACAACCAAAGAATATAATAATCCAAACACCTAAACATCTAACACCAAGCTTAAGGAATGTGAACCAAAAAATGTTTGTGCCTGGACAACACTAGAAATGCATACTGTGTATCAACCAGCTACGAAAACTTGACAACCTAATTGGCTGAACTGAATTCACCAGCTTATTAAAATGTCTAATTTAATGCCAATCTGGTTACATAACTAGAAATTTGGCATCTACACATAATATCTTCAAAAATTGTGAATATATCTAGATATAGACGATGAAAACTAAGCTTCAAACTATTTAACATTACTTCTCGAAATAATATTATTAAGACTTCTACTTATGAGTCATGATCATAGCATTGATTTCATCATATATATGCATGCATATTTCTGAAAAAGGAGAGAAACAACAAAACTATGTCCTCAAATGATCTTAGACACATAAGGTGCTGGGATCCTCACCATTCCGTCCTATGGCAGTATGGCCTATGAGGCTATGACTTTTAAAAATTGTAGCTCGGTCAAACATAAAATAGAAGATGATCATATCATACATCCTTAGCAAAATTCAAGATTCTTCCATACAAAGAATTATATAGGGCTTTTGCCGATATCCCACATGATTTTACCTCAAATCTATGCGATTTGTGCAATGCCATATATAGTGAAGCATATGTTTAATTTGTTTTCTCCTTTCTATGATTTGTGCTAATTCCATGCTATGATTTTACATTTTTACCTTAAAGCTTGTTAAATTTCTATGAAAACTACAGGATTATCACTAAGATACCCCAGCATTTGTTTTCTCCTTCAGAACCAACATTGTGACAAGATTTTCACATATGTAAGGTACTAAACAGGACAACATCTATCCTATGCCAAGCAATGTTTAGCTTTCCAGTTGTATTCTTCTTTCAATCCATGAACTGGAATTTCACCCTTAGTTGTTACCAAATAATATACTTCCCCCGTTATTTTAATATCGCATCACTTGCCTTTTACGGAAGTATCACAATTATTTTGCTTCACTTCCATTTTAGGACAAAAAATATCTATGTTCACACTGCAAATACCCAACATACCCTTACTTATTCACACATACTTTTTATTTTATCTTTACATTACATGGACAATTTTGTATATTTACGTATCTCTCTTACTTTTTCCCACTACCAAATTTTGCCTCTAAAACCCCTATGATACAATAAAAAAAGAACGGAGGAAGTATACAAAAATAAAAAAAAAAATAAAAAAAGGCGGATTCTGAAAGTGATGGAAGAACCTGCAGCAACCCTGGAAAACAAAATCCTAGCAATAAGAAGGTGGCTTTTTGTCAATTTTTTTTTTATTAATATGTTTTATTAATATGTTAACAAACTGAAGATTATTATCACACTCAGCAATCTCAGCAATGACCTGGAGTATATAAAAGAACTTGGGAGTCAACTGGGCTCAAAGAGCACCTTGTAATTCACGAGCATTTCCTAGGATCTAAATCTGATTTTGTAACATCTCACCCCTTCAGCAACACAATGGTGGGCTAGCATTGTTGGGCCCGGGTCACCCACCTTGTCGGGCTGCACGCACACTCCATTCCACATTAGTATGATATTGTCCGCTTTGGGCCTAGCCCGCATAAATTTGTTTTCGAGCACCTTTCCAAAAGGCCTCATACGAATGGATTGTGCACTCACTTATAAGAAGCTCTTCAACTCCTTACTCCTTACTCCTTTCATGTGGGACTTGGGATGAACAACCCCAACAAAGCTCCCCTCAGACCAAGGACCACATAACTCATGGCCTCCCCTTCGACGAAACTATCTTGCACCGCCGCTATCATCACGAGATACGCCGCCTGAGCCACAATATCAAGAGGACTTTCGACGCAAGGCACCACATTCGCAAGGTCACACATTTGAGGGAACGTCCCACACACATAGCGCCCGTGTCTATCCCGTCGAACCATCGGCTTCGATACGACTTGTTGGGACCGGGTCACCCACCTTAGTATGATATTGTCCGCTTTGGCCCTCCCCGCACGGATTTGTTTTTTGGCACCTTCCCAAAAGGCCTCATACTAATGGAGTGTGCACTCACTTATAAGGAGCTCTTCAACTCCTTACTCCTTACTCCTTACTCCTTCCATGTGGGACTTGGGATGAACAACCCCAACACTACCATGGCATGAAATTTCTGGAAGACCTTGAGCACTTGGCTTTTTGTCTTTAACATATACACCCAAGTTCTTCGAGTAGCATCATCAATGAAAGTGACAAATTATCTATTGCCACCAAGAGATTCAACTTCAATGGGACCACAAACATCGGAACTCCAGCTTGGCTTGTTTTCTAGTAGACTTCCTGGAAAAGGAAGCTGCTCTATGCTGCAAACGATGATCATAAGGGTCAAGAGAAACAGTTTTATCACCAGGAATCAATGCTCAATCCCTTGTCACTCATATGTCCCAATCTTCGACGCCACAGATTAGGAGAATTCTTTTCTTCAACCGCTCACCAGAACATACACTCAAGTATGTCTTATACAAAGAGCAACATAACTAGCCTATCAAACCCGTAGACAACTTCCACTTGCCATCACCAAAAGTATGTTGGAAGCCCTCTACATCAAGAACATTAGCAAACAACAAGTTAAGGCGTAGATTAGGAATATGCCGCACATTCTTCAATGTAAGCATGCACCCAACACTTGTCTTCACACGAATATCACCTAACCCAACAATGCTTGCTGAGCTCTGATTTCCCATCTTCACACTACCAAAGTCACCGGACTTATAGTTCATGAAGTACTCTCTCCTAAGAACATGATGGTATGAAGCCCCTGTATCTACAAGCCACAAATAAAAGTGACCTTATCATCACTCTTAGAAGCGGTTGGTGCAGTATTTTTATCATCTCCCTCTTTATGTGAATCATTCTTCTTTCTCTGTTCCTTTTTCAAACGGAAACAATACTTCTTGAAATGACCAGGCTTCTTGCAATAGTTGCATGTAGTCACATTTCTTCCATCACTGAATTTGGACCTACTCCTTGAGTTATCACGGCCTTTGGGACCCTACTCTTGCCTCTTCCTCTGTTTTCAATAACAAGAGCTTGTGAATTATCAACTCCCATCTCCTTTCTTCTGATTTCTTCGGTGAACATGCTCTCTTTGATCACATCCAATGATATCACACCCTTCGGAGCGAGTTACTAATAGTCATAACCAAAGGCAAAGAATTCAATAAGAACAAAGCCTGCAATTCATCATAAAAAAAATCTTCACAGTAGTCATAATATCCTTAACGTCATTAAGATGCTCAAAAACTGACTTTTCACCCTTTCATTTCAAATTAACAAGTTTCTTAATCAATGAAACTTTGTTATGTGCGGTCTTCCTTTCATAAAGACCTTCTAGTTTCTTCCACCAATCATATGGGTCAGAAACCTGTGACCAATGGTTGAATATGCTAATATCAATCCATTGTCTAATAGTCCCTATAGTCTTTCTTTTCAACTTAGCCCAATCTTTATCATCCATTTTATCTGGTTTTGTTGGTTTAACAACGCTACCATTTGTCTTTATGGTTGTTTTTATCGATTCATGTAAGTCTTTACAATACAACAAATCTTCCATTATAGGTCTCCAAATTGAATAATTAGTTAATGTCAATTTAACCATCTAACTACAACTACTTGGCTCCATACTGTGACAAATTAAAATTTGGCTCTGATACCAAGTTGTAGGGACCGGAAGGGGTTCACTACAACACCCACTATGTCACACACATGATAATCAACCTATATTCAATCCAATCAAGCCAAAAATCTCACACAACCTTCTAGCACAACCAAATCAGCAATACAGCAGTAGCAAAACAACAATAATACCAACAATACTAGAAAGAAACGATAACAATCAACACACAAGAATTATACGTGGAAAACCTCTTCAATGTGAAGGATAAAAACCACAAAACCATTTAAGGAGTCCACCCTAGCTTCCATTATTGATAAATTAAAGGTAAAATAAACCCAAATCAGTCTACACAAGGTTTACAACCCACCAACAACAACTAACAATAAGAGATTGAAATTAGAGAGTGAACAAAGTAGAATTCACCCAAAAGACAGCAGACTTTTCTGACCAAACCAAAGCTCAAACCGACGATCCAATCGTCCAAAATGAAGCCCTTGATGTCAAAAATAACCTCAAAATTTTAGCACGATCTAACGGTGAAATCTCCAGCAACGACCAGTTTTGTAAAGGCTACCAGAAAAATCCGAAGTTAGGAGCTCTTGTAAAGAACCCTAACTCTCTCTCTATTTTTGTGTATGTGTATACACACACCACATAATATTACTCCAAAAGCTTCTAAAAGAAGCTACAAAAATAAGCCTCAAAGAAGACTTACAAAACTTAGTAAAATGACTTAAAAGGGACCAAATTATTGGACCCAAAGTAATACTCATTTTACTACCACTTGGCTAGACCCATAACAGGTACAAGAGGGAGACAGAAAAAAAAGCTGAAGCATCTTCGAACTGACAATGGTGGTGAGTATATTTCGAAAGAGTTCAAGTATTATTGCTCACATCATGGCATAAGACATGAGAAGACAGAGCCCGGTACACCACAACACAATGGAGTTGCAGAAAGGATGAACAGAACCATTGTGGAGAAAGTGAGATGTATGCTTAGAATGTTTGATCTTCCTAAGACATTCTGAAGCATTTCAGTGTATTTGATCAACCGTTCTCCATCAATACCTCTTGGTCTTGACAATCATGATAGAGCATGGAAGGGGTGTGATCCTTCATATTCACACTTAGAGAGTCTTTGGATGCAAGGCATTCATGCATGAGCCGAAAGATTAGAGATCAAAGCTTGATTCCAAGACTAACCCATGTGTTTTGTTGGCTATGTTGATGAACAGAATGGTTTCGGACTATATGATCCTGAAAAGAAGAAGGTTATGAGAAGTAGAGATGTATGTAGTATTCTTTGAGCATGAGAAGGGTGCAGATCTTCTAAGTACAAGGTATACTTCTACTTCAGAATTATCTTTTAATACTACTGATGATGTTTCTTTTCCTACACATCTTGTATATCAGCCAACATATGAGAATGTTCAGGATATTCATGATGATATTGGTGAGGTACAACCTAATGGTGATGTACCACTTCATGATGATGATGGTGTTGATCTTGATGAATCTTCATCAGATGAGGAAGAAGTACATGATAAAAAGGTTCATGAACAGGGGGAGCATCCTACCCCTCAAGTTGAGGATATGCAGGTTAGAAGGTCGAGTGCAAGCCTTCAACTAAGTATTTGAAGAGAAAGAGAAAGAAATGTTTGTTTCCAAATTGAAGAAGAGTCTTTATGGGCTTAAACAGGCACCAAGGCAATAGTACAAAAAAATTGATTCGTTTATGACAAGCAATGGTTGTAAACGAACTTTGGCAGATCCTTGTGTGTATTTTAGAAAGTTCCTCGGAGGTAACTTCATCATCCTTCTTTTATATGTAGATGATATGCTGATAGTTGGACAAGATACAGGAAAGATTTATAGAGTATGAAGAAAGACTTGGCCAAGTTATTTGACATGAAAGACTTGGATCCTGCAAAGCAAATCTTAGGCATGGAGATTGCTCGCGACAGGAAAGCTGGAAAGCTATGGCTTTCACAAGAAAAGTATATTAAACACGAGTGCCTGCAAGGTTCAATATGAAGCATGTGTTAGTACACCACTATTAACATATTTCAAGCTACGCAAGAAGGCTTGTCCTACAATAGAAAGGAGAAAGAAAGTATGTCATCCATTCCTTACTCTTCTGTTGTTGGTTCTTTGATGTATGCTATGGTGTGTACTAGGCCAGATATTACACATTCGGTCGGTTTAGTGAGATACTTATTCAATCCGGGTAAGGCTCATTGGGAAGCAGTGAAGTGGATCTTCATATACTTGCAGGTCACTTCCAAATTGAGTGTGTTATGGAAGTGGCAAACCTTAACTTTAAGGCTATACAGATGCCGTCTACCTTAGGTTATGTGTTTACATTTTCGGGGGGAGCCATCTTATGGCAATCCAAGCTACAAAAATGTGTAGCATTGTCAACAACTAAGGCAGAGTACGCAGCTGTGGAAACGAGCAAAGTGATGAAGATGGTTCCCAGAAGCTTGATGATGTTTGTGGTAAGCTTGTGGGATTGAGCTTGAAGTGATCAATGAAGCATGATCGTCTTCCCCGTGTTCGCTGGAGAAGGAGATTGTTATGGGTCCAGCCAAGTGGTAGTAAAATGAGTATTACTTTGGGTTCAATAATTTGGTCCATTTCAAGTCAATTTACTAAGTTTTGTAAGTCTTCTTTGAGGCTTATTTTTGTAGCTTCTTTTAGAGTAATATAATGTGGTGTAAAACAAGTTAGCAAGAGAGCAAGGGGGCAATTAGCTGAGCATACACACACAATAATAGAGAGAGAGTTAGGGTTCTTTACAAGAGCTCCCAACTAACTTCGGATTTTTCTGACAGCCTTTACAAAACTGGTCATTGCCGGAGATTTCACCGTTGGATCGTGCTCAAATTTTAACAGTTTATTCCCATCAAGAGCTTCATACTGGACGGTTGGATCGTCGGTTTGAGCTCTAGTTTGGTTAGAAAAGTCTCCGGATAGAACTGCTGTCTTTTGGGTGAATTATACTCTTTTCACTCTCTAATTTCAATCTCTTATTGTTTGATGTTGTTGGTGGGTTGCAAACCTTGTGTAGACTGATTTGGGTTTATTTTACCCTCAATTTATCAATAAGAGAAGTTAGGGTGAACTCCTTAAACGATCTCGTGGTTTAATCCTTCACATCGAAGGGGTTTTCCATGTATAATTCTTGTGCGTTGATTGTTATCGTTTCTTCGTAGTACTGTTGGTATTATTGTTGTTTTGCTACTGCTCTATTGCTGATTTGGTTGTGCTAGAAAGTTGTGTGAGAGTTTGGTTTAATTGGATTGAATTTGGGTTGATTGTCTTGTGTGTGACATAGTGGGTGTCGTAGTGACCCCCTTCCGATCCCTACAAGCACAGCTTCTAGAATTCAAGTCTATTAAAATAAGCGACAAAAATGACTACAGAATGTCACCAACTAGAAATCTCACAAGTTCCATTGCTCAATTTCACATCTCCCCAACTAGCATTGGCTATTATTTGGACGATAAATACCCTTGAAAATTTCCAAATAAGCTACAACGAACTAGTCAAGAGGCAAAACAATATATCCAAGAGTATGTAGTAACAACCTTTTTTGTTCTTGGCTCAGTCCACTGCATATTAACAATTAGTTCAAATTAGAAAGGACTTTAGTCTAAGAGAAGCGCCCAATGATGTCATCGGGATGGAAAAGAGATGTTGTGGTTCAGATAAGAATAGCAGCACTGAATGATAATAAACTTTACCAGAGAAAAAAGAAGATTTTGATGAACAGAAATACAGTCATGTCAGTTGGGAAAATAAAAGTCCCAACTAAGAAAACTTTCCAGGGGCTCTCCTTGTGGCATTTAAGTCTATCTTTAACTGGGCTTGGCAGGACACATCTAGGAAAGTTGAGGCATTTGTAGCTTGGAAAAAGATCAAGGTTAAAGACAAATGAATTGTTGAGCAGCAGACGCTGGTTCTTATATCGACATTTAGGTAAACCTTAACAAGGAATATGGTTTTTCAGAACATAGCCTTGTAGCATCAGGTTTTCAAGCTATCTTCCATACAGCTTTTGTATCAATAGATCCATGACCTTCCTATTTCTGGAACTTTTCAGATTCTTCCGTAAAGTCACAGAGAAAACAATAGTCAATTACATAATGAACTCATAAACGACATAACTTTTCACCAACAAAATACCTTATGAGATCCACCACATTATTTTATACTTTCTCACTTATGTGTATTTCCGACCAAATAACACTCTTAATTCACCTTGATGAAGGATGAAGCAGGATATCGTGCATTTCAGGTAACAGAGTGAAACAATAGGCATGCATGATACGACGCTGAGTTCCATAAATAGGAAAAGAATCAGAAAACACAAAGACAAAAACACAGACATATCACATAGCTTGACATGTTATTTTTCTTAAAGTAAAACAGGTAATACATTATATTATTATAATCGTAATCGTTTTACTCGTACTCAAAAGAGGTAATACAATATCATTCCAAGACATTCATCAGATTTCAAGCTTGTATAAAGTGACTATGTGACATATGATGGCAAAATCTACCCAGTTCTCAACACTTAAAAGATACAAGCTTTAGATCACTTTCACAAATATAGTGAGCTGTTTTTAGGATAAAATTCTATGTCTTAAAATCACAAAATATCATGCTTTAAAATACTTTTGCCATAATCTAGTAAGCTATTATACTCGAACAAATCCTTCATCTTAACTAAGAAATGAAATATTAAGCATTACATTCTAATTTTGATGATTATTAACAATAACACTTTATAATAACAAAAATAATAATAATTTAGAATAATAATCAAAATTCAAAACCTTACCCTTGTCGTCTGCCATGAATTTATGCTTGTTTGAAATTTAATTAACAGTTCAAAGATATCAAATTTACCGTAAATCACGTTAAACCCTGGACACACAGTAATAACTAATAACCCAGTTCAGAAATAACGCAGTAAAAATCAAAATCACAAGCATAAGCAAAGAAGAAGAAAAAATTAAGTGAAACCCACCTCGTGAATCTGGAGTTTGAGTAGAGTTGTCTTCTGCAATTGAATTTTGATATTGTTTAATTAGGGGTTTAAAGACAAAACACAAAGATGTAGCTAGCAACTAAAGATCAAATAGATAGAATTGAGGAAAAGAGAAATTGAGATATTGTTCAAATTTCGAAAGTGGTGGATTACTACTCGTCAATGGTGAAGGTTGCTACGAGTCTAGTGCTCCACTACTCCCTCAGTCCCTCCCACGTTAATCATGTACGAGTAACTTTTTTTTGTTTTTTGTTTTTTTTTGTTTTTTTTTTGTTGGGTGAACGCAAGGGACAAGCCCCAAAAGACAATGAAAATCTAGCAAGCTAGAAAGCTATAAGCAACAAAAATAAAACAACTAAAACAAAACAAACTACTCATTAGCCGATACCCTTCTCGAAATCGCCACACCTCTCAGATCCTCCAATAAAACGGTTCGAAAATCTTCCGTGAACGCTTCAAAGATGAACAGTTTCTGCTCTATGGTCACCCCATAATTCGCCAACCAGTCGGCTACTCCATTGACTTCCTTGTAGCATTGTCCAATCGTAACTTCTCCACCGTGTCTCACGATTAAAGATTTGCACTTTCGGATGATGTGAATAAACGGAAGCTTAGTGGGTGTACGATCCACTAACATTTGAACAACAATCTCATAATCAACTCTCAATTGCACTTTGTGTCACCCATTTCAAGTAGTGACTAATCCCCTCAACACTGCTAAAAGCTCAGCTCGAGTGCACGTATAGTTGACACCCTGAAGCGCAAAGACCTCATGAACCTCTCTAGTATGACTTTGCACAACACCCCCTACCCCAGCTAGGCCGGGGTTCCCCTTTGATGCACCATTTATGTTCAAACAAACCCAGCCTTCTGGTGATGCATCCCACCTCATATGTACTTCTTCTCTTTTCCTCTTGCATTTATCTTCATTAATACCCAGCTCATATGCTCTCTTAATATCACTAGTAGAAAAAAACAATTGGGCTACCCCAAATGGGAAGCGGTTATTGAATTCAATTTCTTCCTGCTGTACACACCAAATTATAATCCTTATTTTCCATGTTATTTCTGATTTCTTTTATTTAACCAATCAATTTTGTATAATTTTTTTTTATTATAACAGTAAAGTTAATTATACTAACAACAACCGCAATATTTACGCCTAAGAGACGAATACTAATGATTTATTTATAATTTTGGAATACACAAAATTCTTACAATTTGTACTTCTAATTTACGAATAAAACACGGTATTAGTTTGAAGTACAAATTCGGACCTTGTACACTCCATGCCGAGAACTTCAAATCGTCATTTTTTCATGATTATGAAAATCATTAACACCATTAGTAGCACCACTAACACCATAATCAAAGCAAAATATAAATTTAGCACTCGAAAAGCTCCTCAAATGGAGAGGGAGCGAGATGCTTTTGGTTGCCGAAAGCTATGGAAGCCGAAGAGGAAAGGGAAAGGAATGTATTTTTGGAGTAGATAAGAAGTAAGTGGTGATTGTGGATAAGAAAAATCTCCCTTTTATAGGGAGTAAATCTTATCTGTAATTTTTATCTTATCCCAATTGCATAATTGTCCAGCGTATTAATATTAATAAGTTTATCTTTTAAAAATAATAAAATAAAAATGTTGTTACCGCTAACGTATAACAATTATTCCATTTGAAATTGCAGGTAATCGAGGATGCATAGGTCATCATATATCATATATAGTCAAAAATATTAAATATTGGTCCTCTAAACCGCAAAGCTATTAAATCGCGGGCCGTTCTATATGTTTGACCAATTTGGAGGATAAAACAAGAGGGATCGAATATTTATTCTAGGCACGTACCATAGTCGCTTTCCTAATAGTTTATTATCGACCCACTACGAAACAATAGGGTTAACATGATATAACTATTGGAATACAAAGAAGAGACAATTGATTTTGGTTGTTTATCAAAATCAATCTACAAGAAGTTTGTGAACAAGTGTTTGTAAAACCAATCAAGAGAAAATACTCTAGATTAATTTCTCTTAAAAAAAGCAAGTTAAAAAAATAATCTCTTCCATCATCCATCATATATGTCATATAAACTCCTATTTATAAAGTTTATATGTAGAGTAGTTTCATTCCAACGGATATGTCAGTTCACAAAGCAATCCATTCAAAAACTGTAAAAAAACCGTCAGTTTTGAACTCCGCCCGATCAGACCGAGCATGACGCGCATAAAACTTATGAAAAAACATGTAAAAACTGACAACTCCCTTCGCCCTGGTAGGTCGGGCGTGCACAACACCTAATGAATATTGAGATAACCAACTATCTTTACTCGTGCTCGTCCTACAGGGCACCCATATCCTGTCAGACAGGGCAAAGCTCAAATTAGTCAAGTTTGCCTTGTATTGTTACTTTTATACATCTTGCTTTGACGTACCTCTAATTTAAGTATAATCATTATACTAATCCTCCTCAACTCCTAGCATAATATCAACCTCATAAATGAACTCATAAGCACATTTATTTATAAATGTTCCAACACTATATTTTATTACTCCCTCGATATTTTTTTAATTTCTCCATGCGTAGAGTTTTAGGAGAAATAGTGAATAATTAATAAAAAAAAAACGAAGGAAGTAGGGTTGGTGGAAAAATAAAATATGATAGTTGTGAGGAGAGAGAATGTAATACCCTAGAAATTTCCTTCTTCTAAAAATACTCATTTTACACTAAATAAAACTCTTTTTAGGAAATAACCAAAATATTACCGCCACCGTGATAACGGCTAAGGCTAATTTTCAAAGTCACACAACGGAAGTCTAAAAACAAAACCAACTTTTAAAATGAAATTTGAGTTCACGGCCTCAAAACAAAAGTAAATAAAACATTCACAAGTTGGAACCAATTCAAACATGACCCTTCTTAAAAACCAATTAAAAATAAACACAATAATGTTAGTCCATAAACAATAACCAATAATTCAAAAATATCAAAACTAAGAAACATACCAAGTAACTCTCTGCACTCAATCCCATCATGCTTTTCATGCTTCAAGTACCTGTTACTTCCTCTTTATTCAACCCTTTACTCACCATATAAATGGGTCATTGTAGGGCCAATCCAAAGGAAAGCCAAACACAAAGACAACAGTACGAATTAGCAAAGCTGAGTACATATGCACCACACTAATCCTAGCATTAAAATAAAAATAATAATTAAAATATGCTCGCCATACAATCACAAGTCAACTTAACTTTGACTCATAACTAGCAATATTAATTATTAATAATAATTTTTCGGATTACGCATCGAACGAGTTTTCTTCCTTGAAAAATAGCCGATTTAAATATTGACCTTCCAATCAGGGAGCTACCCCAATTGACACCTACTATGTCACCTTGTGACGGAATTCCAGCGCATTAATAATAAAAGAAAGTACAGCATTTTGTACCCCTGTAGAAGCTATGGTTAAATATAAAACCCCATAACTCCCTCCATATGTTCATACTCAAGGTATATACGTTCCAAGAGTTTTGGTGCCTATCCTCTTACACTTTACGTGATTAACCAATTTAACATGTGATGACTTAAACCAATCAATCAAGAATAAACATAGCAACATTCAACACATACTTCCAATTCATTCTTGAATTAATTAGTGAGCACATACTATTTATTTTAATTAAGGTTCCTTGCCTAGTTTTGTGCACGAAATTGCACGATTACTACCTTGGTGCATAAATGCACTACTAAGCTTCCTTGACTCAAACTCAACTTACATGAGTGAGTAAATAAATAAACTAACTTCTTGACTCAACACCAATAATAAATGGGTAAGATATAAATTCATGAATCATGCTTAATAATTCTAACTTTAGCTCTTTAATTCATATATAAACCTCGCTTATTAAATACATGCTTCCTTGATTCTTGAAAATAAAACATACTTCCATGATTCATACATATTCAACTCCTATCATGCCTCAAATAACATATTCACATGCTTGCATAACAATTCATGCTCAACCAACATCAATTCCAAGCATATAATCAACCAAACATGCTACTATCCTAATTCATCACTTAAATCACAATTTACAAATCCTAGCATGATACTACGCATACACAAATATTCTTGTGCACATACGTACCTTGAAAAATGCCAAAACTCGGCCACACTCGTTAGAAATCACCTAGCTTTAAGCTTCCTACAAATAAGAATACATAACTACAATTAATCTACTATTCTCACAAATTTCCAGCAACTATAATACACTTTAAACCTTAATAATCAACCCAATTTAATGACATAAAAGCCATAAAACCTTTTCTTTGGGTACTTCAAATCCTTTCAAAAAAGACTTAGTTTTTATGACTTAAATAAAACTCCGGCATACTTATTTAATATAAAACATAACTAATAGACTAGGAAATCATATTTAAATCATTAAAACCTTTTTTCCGCTTATGGGTAATCAAACCCTAACTTAATAATTAAAAAGTAGTGTGCATAAATAAATTTCAGCATTAATTTGAGGGCTTTAAACTCATTAAAAACATGTTTAAACCATTAATTAAACAACAACAACAACCTAAGATCAACCCTAACCATAAACCATAAATTCCCAATTCTAGGGTTTGTAAATTGGGGTTTTTGATTGAATAAAAATCTGAAAATTATGTAAATAATTTAACAACATCAAATACTCAAAATCAATACCAAAACATAATCAAAATCATGTTTTAAATTAATATAAACAATAGAATTAAATTAGGAAGAGAAAAAGAGTTTTTTTTTTTTTTTTGTTTTTTTTTAAATAATAATACTGAACCAAAAACAAAAGGAGAGAGAAGGAGGTGGCCGGCGGTGGTCGTCGGCTGCTGCTGTTGGCCGCCGGTGGTTGCCAGTGGCTAGTGGTGGCGTCGGTGGCTGCCGGCGTGCGTGAGGGAGAGGAGGAGAGAGGGGTGTGGGAGAAGAGAGAAAAAGAAGAGGAAAAAGAGAGGAAAAATAAGGAGAAAAAGGAGAGAGAAAATAAAGAGAAAACTTTTGGGATTTTTGTGAAATCTGACAATAATGATTTTAGGGTAAAAAATCTTGAGGTTTTGAAGTATTTATAATCCTTTTTTTAAAAAAAAACTCATAATTACAAAACTGCCATTATTAAATCCTATCCCCCCTTAAAATCTTCCTTTGGGGCCAACTTGTTGGGCTCTTAAGTGTCCTCAATTTCCCAACAAATTGATCCAACTATTTAAATAAAGATGACCTAATTCAAAACACTTTTATTGCCTCAATTAATGACTCATATTATTTTATACACACTTACATAATATTTGAATAATTAATTTCTTTTAAAATGAAATGAATCATTTTTATTCATAATAATAAATAAAATAAATGAAATAAATAATTTGTATATATAAAAATATTATAAAAATACGGAGTATTATAGTCTACCCTCCTTAAAAGAAGTTTCGTCCTCGAAACTTGAGCACGAAAATCATAAAATTTTGTTCAAAACTTATTTAAAACTGTACTCTTTCACCCATTTAGTAAAAACTTTTCTTAATACTTATAGTTGCTGTACTTTTTGTAACCTTTCTTGTTCTCTTTCTTTCTAAACTTTGTATAAAATTGTGCAAAATATACTATAAATGCACAAAATGCTTGAAAATAAGGTAAAAAGCGCGAAATTCTACCGCATTCTACCTCCCTTAAAGAAAACGAGTTACATCCCTGTAACTCAACTAACCTTAAACAATTCTGGGTACTTCTTTCTCATTTCATCCTCAGCTTCCCATGTTGCTTCCTCAGTTTCTTGATTCGACCACAAAACCTTTACTATCTTAACATCTTTCTTGTGTGTACTACGCACTTTACTATCAAGAATCCTTACGGTCTTTCCTCATAGGTTAGGCTTTGGTCTAGTTCTATGGTTTCAGGTTGTAGGAGATGCGACTTGTTTGGGATGTACCTTCTCAATTGAGAAACGTGAAACATATTGTGTACGTTGGTGAGGTCCATAGGCAATGCCAATCTATAAGCAACTTTTCCTATTCTTTGCAAAATCTTATATGGTCCAACGTACTTTGGACTCAACTTCCCTTTCTTCCCAAATCTCATTACTCCCTTCATTGGTGATACCTTGAGCAAAATCTTGTCACCAGCTTGAAATTTCTCTTCTCTACGCTTTAAATCTGCGTAGCTCTTTTGTCTATCTTGAGCAGTTTGAATCTTAGCTTGGATTTCTCTCACTTGCTTCGTTGTTTCTTCTATCAATTGAGGACCTAGAACTATTGTTTCACTAATGTCACTCCAACATAGTGGACTCCTACACTTTCTTCCATACAAGGCCTCAAATGGTGCCATGCCTATGCTTGCATGGTAACTATTATTATAAGAGAATTCTACCAAGTCCAAGCTATCTTCCCATCCATTTTGGTAATCTAACACACATGATCTTAACATATCTTCCAAGGTTTG